ACACACACACACACACACACACACAAAGCCATGATGTCAAATGTCAACATTCAGAAACCCCTCAGCCTCTGGTTCTGTCAGCCGTCGGGCTGCTTCCAGGTGCACCACGGTCCCGGCCGGTGGTTTTGTCTTACAGCCCTTTAGTCATCCATGGATTATTCATCTCTTGTCGTTTTGTTGGAATTTTGGTTTTACAGTTTTTATCAAATTGGTTACACGATATTCTTAAAAAGGAGTTGTAAGCCATGTTTACGTCTTTCACATAAACTGTTTCCCAGTTTTGTTGTTCCAAGTCTCTTTTTAGCGCATCGATAGCGTTTTGTGACCTATCTCTTATTAGTCTTTGAGTTTTGTGTTGAAACTTAATCCGATTATTTGTATAGACTGTAAAAGTTGGCAGGTGATCACTGATGTCTGTCATTACTATTCCACTTCTCTCTATTTCCGTTGCAACGTTAGTACATGTATTATCTATTGTAGTTGACCTGTGTGCATTTATTCTTGTTGCTTTGGTTATCAGTGGAAACAGACCCCGTACATACAATGAATTTATAAAGTCGTTTGCAGTCTTTGAGTTATTTACATTTTCCAGATCAATATTAAAGTCTCCACAGAGAAATACATCCTTGTTGCACAGTCCACTCAACATCTCAGTAATCGTATTTGTGAATGACTCTACACAGGATCCTGGTGCTCTGTATGTACAACTCATTATATTATATTTGTTATATATTATATTATTATTGTTTTTTGTCTTCTCAGAAATGATTTCTATAGTAATTATTTCCATTACATCATTGATGGCTGTTGACATGTTTGAAAAGCAAAGTTATTTATAGTTATTACAAATATATAGTGCTACACCACCGCCTCTTTTATTTCTCCCATTTAGTAAACACATCTCCTAGCCCTCTGTTTGTACTTCTTCATTATTACCTTCTTTTAGCCATGTTTCTGTAATTGCAATAATTAGAAATCTTCTTTTGTTTTGTGTTAAAAAAATCCAAAATTTTGTAATAATTACAATAGAAACGTCTCCAGTTAAAGTGAGTGATTGAGAGGGATCCTTCTGGTAAAACAGACTCATTTAGTACTTGATCGCTGTAGTATTCACATTCCTTATTCATATGCATGTGCATATTATTTTCTAGATACTTTTCAGGGTCATATATTTTGTATTCGAGGTCCTCATTTGTACATGTAACATCCATATTTTCCCTTTATTTACCTGAATTTCATTTTCATGCCTCTGTAGGTGATTTAAAGCCTGGCAAGCCAGACTAAATAAATGTATTGTGTAGTCTGGCAACGCTCCAGTGACGGATCTCGGTTGTGGGGCGGGTTCTACCGTTGTCTTTCAGATGATCTCTGCATGCTACTGGACGATGAATGTGACGTACTCTTGTTTCACCGAGTGCGTTTACATGCAGCCAGTAACCCTTTTAAAACCCGAATATTCACAATAACCCGGTTCCGCACGGCCATGTAAACACCGCCAGAAACCCGGATATGCTCATAACCGGGTTTTTAAAAACCCGGTTACTACACCTGGGGTAACCCTTTTCCAACCCGAATGTTTGGTCGTGTAAACGCATACCGGGATATCCCCATCAAAGCGTGTGTTCTGCACATGCTCTGTTCGCAAGGAATCTTGGTCTTTTGAGTAGCGAGACGTCTTGTATGCGCCAGAACTCCGGAAGTAAACAACAAGTTGGGAGCAACATGGCGAGTCGCGGCACAGCACCACACTTTTGGAGTGAAGAGGGAAACCTCTGTCTTCATCGGTCCGGTGAAAAGTATGAACATCATGTCTTTTGTTGACGGCCGAAAGTACAGAGACAGCATATTGCGTCTTGACGTAGTCCACACGTCCTGACGCTACCCCAACGTCCGCATTTACATCGGGTTATGCAAGTTAGAGGTAACTCTCTATTTATGCTTGTAAACGGGTTATTCTGATCAACTCAGAAACCCGAATACCGACCTGAACCCGATCATAACCCGGATATTGGCTGCATGTAAACGTCGTCACCCTGTTGCATCATCCCACCCACCAGGCATATAGAGGGCCCTGATTGGCCCACAAAGCGGATAAAGCTCTGTGATTTGTTCACTAAGCAGATAGAGCACCATGATTGGCCCACCATTATGGACCAATCACAGCTCTTTGTGTGTTTGAAACCCCTCTAGAGAGCTGTGATTGGCCAGCCAGAATGCTGTTGGGGCTGCAGAGGTTCCAGTGGAGCGTTCCTGGACCAAACTTTGCAAAGCAAGAATTGGGTCTAGTTCACTAGGCTAGTGATTTTACTCTGTTTTACAACTCTCTTCCCACTTTCAATGATTATTGAATTTTTCCAGATCTTGTATTATCTTCGCTTGTGACCCTTCTTGTTCTTTGATCCATACATTCCCACTTCTTGTCCATGTTGCTACAGATTTTTTCTGCTTTTTTAAGATCCGTGCCTCTCTAGCTATTATCCCATGTGTTTTGGTTAAGTTT